TTAAATCGTGGTGTCGATTCATCTTTGATTGTTTGATTGGGATTGTTATTTACTGTTTAAAATTGATATATAATCACAAATCAATATCTCGGGAATTTTAGATTTTTCAATCGTCATCTCTGCCGCCTTCTCCAGGCCTGCTGGATACTGCCTCCCTTCCTCTGCTCTGCCACATCCTTTCTCGCTAGATTCTCTATCGTCGTTGTTGATGCTTTGGTTTGTGGGTTGTTCTGCCTTTCTTTTTTTTTTTCTGGTTTTTCTTTGGGTTTGCCTTGCTGTTGGTAGCTATTTTATGGTTTGTTTTATTCTTCTGGTTTTATATGGTCTTGTGGGTTTGTTTTTTCTATTTTGTGTGTGTGTGTGTGTGTGTGTGTAAGTCCATCAGTGGTGATGTTTAACTTACCCTCTCTGTGGTTTGTGTCTATAATTAATTCCAGACATGCTCTATTACCGACTTTTATGATCGGTTCTACTTCGTAGTTCAAGCATGAGCACAAGATGTGCGTCTAAATATTTTTATAGATTTTTTCCTTTGTATTTCTTGCTATATCTTTCCTTTGGTGTAAGTTTTGGGGTGGATGGACTCTTATAAGTGCCGTTTGGCTTTCCTTAATGGATTCCGGCCTTGTGATTTTTCCATGTTAAATCGTGGTGTCGATTCATCTTTGATTGTTTGATTGGGATTGTTATTTACTGTTTAAAATTGATATATAATCACAAATCAATATCTCGGGAATTTTAGATTTTTCAATCGTCATCTCTGCCGCCTTCTCCAGGCCTGCTGGATACTGCCTCCCTTCCTCTGCTCTGCCACATCCTTTCTCGCTAGATTCTCTATCGTCGTTGTTGATGCTTTGGTTTGTGGGTTGTTCTGCCTTTCTTTTTTTTTCTGGTTTTTCTTTGGGTTTGCCTTGCTGTTGGTAGCTATTTTATGGTTTGTTTTATTCTTCTGGTTTTATATGGTCTTGTGGGTTTGTTTTTTCTAATTTCTGTGTGTGTGTGTGTGTGTGTGTGTGTGAGTCCATCGGTGGTGATGTTTAACTTACCCTCTCTGTGGTTGGTGTCTATAATTTATTCCAGACATGCTCTATTGCTGACTTTTATGATCGGTTCTACTTCGCAGTTCGAGCATGAGCATAAGATGTGCGTCTAAATATTTTATAGATTTTTTCCTTTGTATTTCTTGCTATATCTTTCCTTTGGTGTAAGTTTTGGGGTGGATGGACTCTTATAAGTGTCGTTTGGCCTTCCTCAATGGATTCTCCTTCCAATCCAAAAAAAAAAAACTCTACTAATGTAATCACTAACAAAATAGTACTCCAAAGTAATTTAAAATCATATTCCTACTCTTGACACTCCCATAAGTAAAAATCCATGCAGTTTTACCCCTCAGAATATGATAAAAATAAAAAATAAAAAAAGGGATAAATTAGACAGCCTAGTAAATAATCAACTATCACTGCTAGTTAGATCAAGTATACAAAGAAAATAGTTGATAACCAATAAATGTATTTTTGCTACAATTCAATATAATGAACTGAAAAATCTAAAATCCCCAAGATATTGATTCATGATTATGTTTCAATTTAAAACAATAAATAACAATCTCAATCAAACAGTCAAGACAAATCGTCATAATGATTTAACGTGGAGAAAATCAGAATTGGAGCGCCTCCAATTGTGATAAAAAAAAAACCATGGGCCAAAGTCACAAAACAATCCACTAAAAAGATAAAAAGGAATTACACATGAGTACTCTCAATTACCTAACGAATTTACGCCCGAATTGAACCGACTCCAATGTGCCTCTTCCACCATCGTCTTCACCACAGAATTGTCTTGCCCAATGTTGAATTCATGACGATGAGCCACCTCGAAATCCACCAAAACTTTAGGCCCAAATTCCCCAGAATCCACCAAAGAACACCACTCTTTTTTGTGAATAAAGAAAACAAACAAACCCCTTGATAATGTTAATATGAAGTTCATATATCGATTGATCACTCTCAAATCATCAAGGAAACACTCAGAAAAATACCCTCTAATATAGAAAACCTTGGTAGCTTTGCTCTCCCAAAATTTGGACGGCCTAAACCCTAAAAACAGCTTACGACGCACTTTATAGAAAATAAGATCGCGAAGACCGCTCAAGCGACCACTTCATCGCTCGAGCGAACTCACTAAAACATGTGCCCATCGCTTGAGTCAAGACTCCAACTCTCGAGTGAAAAAAGGATTCTCTCAGAAGTTCAATCTGCTCTACAAAAATACTAGATGATGCCATTCACCGCTTGAGCGCACAAGTGACCGCTCGAGCGGTCAAACAACTTTGGGCAGCTCAATCCCTATACATAGCCAGCAAAGTGGCAAATATGAAAGTCTTAAGATCACAAACTCCTCTGAATAGGCATAATTTGGGTTGAATTCGCATCTAAATACTCACATTCTCACTAAAACAAAAGAGCGAATAAAATTACAACAGAAATAAGTTTTGTCAAACGGAATTGCCAATTACAAAAAACCTACATGAACAATTATTTTGTAAGATAGTTGCATAGCTAAAAATAAACAGTGTAGCAATACATTTTAATTAAGAAGACAACGAGATAATTCAAAGTAATTCCATTTTCAAATTGACGGTTCAATATTTAGATGGTTCAATGATTCGATTCACAAAACTCAAGTCTTGTTGACTATGGCCAATTAGCTCATGACAAGGCCCAGAACCACACATAGTCCGATGGTGAATCCGCAAAAAAAAACTAGTTTATGTGCCAATAAATAACCCCCATTGGCTAGGATCCAAGTCAGGAGCCAGAAATTCAGTGAAGAGAGGGCACAAATTAATGACAACATTGATTTTGTTTTTGGCTCATAATAAACAACAACGAGATATTACTAAACTTAAATATTAAGAGTCCATTTGGATAAATGTAAAATTTAAATATTTGAGGTTAAATTTATACAAATATTGCAGAGTAGCTAATTTAGGTGGATTGGAAAATTAAAAAGGAAGATAAGTTGAGATAGAAATGATATATTTTAGTAGAGAAATTCTATAAAACACACCGCTAAAAAAGTGTCTATCATATGCCATAGTTATGATCTTCATGGTCTTTAGTTAACACATTGTAGTGTTGGATAAAATTTAGTTATAACTTCTTATGGTTGTTATTTTGGTTATGACTGAACATGTGTTATACATCAAGTAATGGTTAGTTATAACTCAATCTGATGTTAATTATGGCCTATTGTGTTTTATTTATTTATTTATTTATTTTTGTTATAATTGAAGATGTGTTGTTTGGTTATAATTTATATAGTGGACATTTTAGTTATGAATGAAAATAATTTGGTTATGAAAATTTATAATATCAATACCATAAAGTCATAACTTGGTACAACCTTTTTAGAGGTGTATAATAGAATGATCCATTTTAGTAGGTTCCTTGTAATTAGAAGGAAAAATTGTAATAGAGGGACTATTACAAATTTAAGAAGGGATATTATTGTAATTTTATAGAGGATATATATAATATAATCTATATATATAGTGTTACTAATATAATTATCAAAACTTTAGGGGGCATGTGCCCCCCTTGGTACTATACTGGCTCTGTCCCTGGTCCAATCATAATCAAACTAGAGTGATATTCAGAATTCAAATAATAAACTTCCTTTAAATTAAGTGTTCAACATTTTCAGAATAAATATTTGGTACAAACTTTCAGAATAGTTTCACAAAATATTAAAATAATTTCCAGAATAATATTCGATGCTATTTTATACTTGACCCATATTTTTATTTTAAAAGAAAAAAAAGCTATAAATAAATATTTATAATTTAAAATGATTGGATAAAAATAAAATTAGCCGACAATGATAGAAGGTTACTTACCTCAACAGCTAAAATAATACCCCAAAACTAACTCTAAATACCCAACTCTAGCACTTTAATCACACGAACCTAATAAATATAACCTCAAACAAATTAATATTTTTATGTTTTTCACACATCCACAAGAACCCACTAAATATATACAGTACTTTAATATCCAGGAGATACCAAATCAATCCACCCAATTTAATAGCCAAACACACCTTACCTATATACAAAACTCTATTGTCAAACCACACCCACACACACTGCTCCACTGTTTCTACTATCCACCTAGACTACACTCTACACGTTGCACCATTCACCAAAATCTCAAAACCTAGGTAGGCACATACAGATTTTCTAAAATCCCTAAAAGCATTGAGTGTTTTATTTCTCAATAAAAATTTAATAACTAGTGATACAAGAAGAGTCTTACCTCAATCAATGGGTGTATCAGAATATTTCCAAGATGCTGAGCCCTCAATTCCTACCGCAGCCTCTCACTTGAATATTTCCGAACCTTTTTTTTTTTTTTTTGTTTCTTTTGAGTGCACTCTCACTGCCGCAAGATAGAATAGGCACAAATTCACTTTAGTAATCTACTTCTCCAAAATTAAAATGTTACCCATCTGAGGTACAAAATTACAAAATCACCCATAGCTAATTTCTTATTATTTTAATTATTATATAACCAAACTCGGGTTTCACATGAATAAACTCAAGCATGATCTTGATGAAGTCGTGGTGGATTATATAATACCATTAGAAGTATAAATTTAAAGGATTTATATTACATTATTTTATTATAACTTTTTGATGGAACTTAAGGCTTGGTTTAATTTGATTTGATTTAGTTTATTTGATTATAACTTTTCTTATTCAGATTAGATTTCAATTGACATTTTATCCAATAAAATTAGTAAATTTTTTAATCCTACAACTAATGGGGAGGCTTCTTTGCCAGTCTGATTGAGACCAAAGGGTGCTATTGGCCCATATGCTTGCCTTGCTCTGGGTCAATCTCAATAATCTAAATTTTTTAATGTGTAAGGCTCAACCACATCATCTCTGCAAAAAATCATGTCGATCAAATATCAATAACCATTTGATCAAATCACAATTGTGTCAATGACAAGTATGGTTTTATATATTGCGAAACAAACGTGGACAAGAAATTACATATCCCAGTAATCTAGTTGGATTATTAATCCTACACAAATCTCTTCTATTGTTAATCCCCTTACTATTAATCTACAGCCACTTGTACAAAGAGTACTTCAATCTACAGTTAAAGCATGCCACAATAAGCGTAGCAAGAGACAACCTTTCGATAGTTATCGCGGTGATATGCTAGAAATAGTGCCCTGATTTACAGAAGGATCTGTGGTCGAAGATGACTTCAAATGAGCAATTCTGCCAACAGAAACTGCAGGTTGTCTTGGTTGAGGAAGTGTTGCTGATTCACTTCCCAACAAAACAACCACAGATGACATATTGGGCCTATCTGCTGGATCTTCTTGGACACACAAAAGCCCGATATGAATGCATCGTACAACTTCTGTCGCGTGGCATGATCCCGCCAACAATGGATCTAAAAATTCTAATTCTTTTCCTTCATTCCATAGTCGCCACGCCTGTAAAATCGAGTTGTTTGGAAGTACATCTAATTTAGAAGGGAAAAAAAAGTAGTTAACATCTAGTTATTCCAGTATTGTAATACAAGGGGGTGAGAAAACACACATAAGCAAGGAGTGTTGGAGCATGTTTGGTAAGGTAAAAGCCACTGTTTCTTTTCCCACTAATGATCTCCAGCAAAATTACTCCGAAGCTAAAGACGTCAGATTTCATAGAGAATAATCCTCCCATTGCATATTCTGGAGCCATGTATCCACTGCATCAAATATGATAATTACATATTAAGGTGTATTGGAAGATACACATTGACCGATATTTAAAATTATGGGAAACACTTACTATGTTCCTACAACTCTTTTTGTGTTAGCAGTGTTTTGGTCTTCGCCAAAAATCCGTGCCAGTCCAAAGTCTGAAATCTTTGCGACCATTTCTTGGTTCAGTAAAACATTATTAGGCTTTAGATCCCTGTGTATGATTTTAATCCTTGAGTCTTCGTGCAAATAAAGTAGTCCTCGAGCAATGCCATGAATAATATTAAAGCGTATATCCCAGTGAAGTTCTACACACTTCTCTAAATCTGAAATCGTAGAAAAAAAATTAAAGCTCTCCAGGTAATGTTTTGTCTATTTTCTTAGCTACATTGAGCTGTAAGTAAAGTCTATAGATGGAAAATACAAAAACAAACCAAATAGGAAGAGATCAAGGCTTTTGTTAGGCATGTATTCATATATGAGCAGCTTTTCTTCTCCCTGTATGCCACAACCCAAAAGTCTGACAAGGTTTCTGTGTTGAAGTTTTGCAATTACTTTGACTTCATTCATGAACTCCTCTAATCCTTGCCATGATTTCCTCGATAGTCTTTTAACTGCTATTTCCTTGCCATCGGACAAGACACCCTACAAATTTCAGTTGAATATATTTTTTTTTTAACAGCAAAAAAGAGGGTTTTATTGATGAAAATCAAATTACAAAGCAAATGACAAACATCAACAAAGAATGAGAGTGCAAAAAACATCAAAGCAAAACCAAACAATCCCAACTATGTTGGCACCGAAAAACAAGCCCAATCATTTGCTACCGCAATACCGAGTTGGTGAGAACCCAACAAAAACGGACCAAACAAAAGCAGAATAATTGTGCTAGCAAAAACAGAATAGTTTCAGTTGAATATTTACTGATCAAAAAGGATAAAGGCCTACCAATTTTAGGGTCCAAAAATCGGCCGATATTTTAGACTTTTGATATTCATAGATATATCAGCCGGTATCAAATATCGCCAATGATATCGATATGTATCCAGATACTGTCATTTAAAAATTGTTGATGGACTTTGTGTTAGGACTCCCTTGTACCCAACGTGGAGTTAATTCTGTGTTCGTAGTGGTTGACAGGTTTTCAAAGATGACGCATTTTATTCCTTGTCGAAAGACTTCAGACACCTCTCGCGTGGCTCGATTATTCTTTTGAGAAGTAGTTTGTTTGCATGGAGTTCCTCAATCCATTACCTCAGATCGTGATGTCAAGTTCCTTAGCCACTTTTGAGTGACTTTGTGGAAGATATTTAACACAGCCTTGAATCGTAGTTCAACCGCGCATCCTCAAACAGATGGTCAAATAGAGGTGACTAATAGGACTTTGGGAAATTTGGTTCATAGCATTTGTAGAGACAAACCAAAGCAGTGGGATCTTGCTCTGCCTCAAGCAGAATTTGCATATAATAGTGTAGTTCATAGTGCCACAGGAAAGTCAACATTCTCTCTGGTGTATGTCACACCTCCAAAACATGCAGTTGATCTGCTCCATTTGCCTTGAGTTCCAAGAGTGAGTACTGGCGTTGAAACCATGGCCAAACAAGCCCAAGCAATCCAAGAAGAAGTACAACAGAAGTTAGAGGAAACAAATACCAAATATAAGACAGTTGTAGACAACCATCGACCCTCTAAACTGTTCAAGGAAGGAGATTCAGTAATGGTGTTTTTGTGCAAAGACAAATTTCCAATAGGCACATACAACAAATTAAAGCCCCACAATTATGATCCATATAGGGTGTTGAAGAAAATCAATGACAATGCTTATGTGATTGAGCTACTAGAAGGCATGAAGATTTCCAAGACTTTTAATGTAGTTGATTTATATAGGTATCACACTGAAGAACCCCTCTAGCCAGAATTGAACTCATGGTCGAGTTCTCTCCAAGAAGAAGGGAATGATATAGAACAAGTAGCCGAAGACTTGTTGGAATAATTGGACCGCCAAAAGGCAAGAAAGAAACCAAATTGAGAGCAACAGAGGCACTTTTGGAACGAGTTTGGAATTGTCTCAAATTTGGTAGTCTGATCGGAAACAGTGTTCTAAATTCAACTGTAGCATGTTTCAAGGTCTCCAAATTCAAATTTCAAACAAGCTCTACAATCGCTATGAGAGATGTCTCTTGTGCACTGTACAAGCCCATAGATTGATTCATTCCTTGAAAATTTGGTTTTACCAGTAACGAACATGGGGTTAGAAGGATTGACAGTGGCTTCATCCGAGAGTTTATTCATAAAATCCTTCAAAACTTTAATAAAACTTACACGGTCTGATATATTTTTCTCCTGTTTGTTCGAGTCAGGATACAATCCATTATAGACCATCATCAAGGAAAAGAAAGGCAGGTGTGCGTATCGTACTTGACAGAATTCATGCCATATAATTGCATTATGGGTTGGACACACTGTCATGATCTCCTGGCTTGCATTCTTTATGCAATCCCGACACACTTCAGGAGTGACATCCCCTCTGCAAAGAGCTTGCCCATAAACTTGATCAATGTTGTTTCCGATTGCAGTGCTGTTGAAGCCTTGATTTAATGGAGTGTTCGATGATAGGGACTCAAGAAGGATCTTGAGGTTGTTCCCAAATCGGCTATTTGGTGTGTAATTAGTTGGACTTGAATCACAAGATATGGATTTAGGATCTGCAGAAACAGAGTCACAGAGCAAGAACAGGGACAACATTAGGAAAATCATAGCTGAAAGTGCATCTTTGTTAATCTGCCTAACATGAGAGCACATTTGTGCTAATTTTAGCCGAAAAGCTTGAGAGATGAGAATAGAAATCAGATAACAATAGGAGAGAGATATGCTCTACATTCTTCTTTACAAAAGGTCCATCAACAAGTTTTTATTGGACACCAAGGTGTTGTTGGCTTGGCTCAATAGTCAGTCACTTGGCCCTGCATGGCTTGGCTCTATTGATTGCTGTCAATTTCTTTGGGGCCACATCCGCAGCGATAGACTAAGCTTCCGTTTGGGAAGTGGGTTGGTTTTTTGGCTTTTTGGTTTTTTTGGTTATTTTAGTCTGGGCTTAAAAGTTTGGTTTGGAAATGGCTTTTTGGCTTTTTGGCTTTTTAGTTTTTTTGAGTTTTTTTGTGAGAGAAAAATGTAATAATTATGGGTTGGATGCGATGTTTTGTTTGTTAGGGCTAAAATAGCCTATTTTATTTTTTGTGGCTAAAATAGCCAAAAAAACCCAAACCATGACTTCCCAAACGAAGCCTATTTGTTGGACCAGTGTGGAGGGGACGCTTCTCGAGATTAGACGATTAACACAGATACCCAATTATTAATTTCTTTTTAAAAAATTAGACAATTAACACAGATACCCAATTATTATTATTTTTTTTTAAAAAAAAGGTAAATTAGAAATATATTGAGGTTTGTTTTAAATATTAATTGTCTCTCGAGATTTTGAAAATTACAAATACCCATTTTCAAAAAGAAATTATTTTATAGAATTAACACAAAAAATAAAATTCCTAACTACTCCCTTATGCAACAATAAAATTATCAAAATTGTTAAATGAAATATTTTTAATATCATTAAAAATTATTAAATAATGATTTTATTAATAGAAGGGGTCACTTTATTCCGATGTACCGAAAAAATAGAATGCGATTAAAAATTTATAGGGGGCAGGATATAATTTTAAAATTTACAGGAGACAATTCATATTTTAACCAAATCTGAAAGAATATATTTGTAATTTACTAAAAAACAAATATAAGAAATTACGACCGAAAAAGAAACAAGGTTTGACTCTGGTAACAAAATAAACTCTTAATTTTTTATTTTATCAATTTAATTCCTAATTTCTTGATTTCTTTTAAATCTAAATGATTCGCATATTTCTATTAAGCAAAAAAATAAAAAACTAAAAAACTAAGAGAGAGAGAGAGTATTTTAGCCATTAAACGCAATGTAAACATATATAAAATGTTTAAAATATTATTTTTTGTTAAGTTTAATGGTTAAAATACAATTTTTTTCTTCAATTTTTCTTAACGAAAATAAGCAAATAATTTAGATTAAAAACAAATAAAAATATTAAAGTTTAAATTAATATAATAAAAAATTTAATATTTATTTTATTACAAATATCAAATCTTATTCAATCAGACAAACTGATCATTTTCTTCGAAACTTCATAACCACAATTAATTTGACTGACAAGCACAAATGTCTATTGAAAAATATAAAAAAACGAGAAATATGACCATACAATTTGAAAGGGGACGTATGTAATTTTCAAGACATGATCTTGGACTTCCAACCACAAAGAAGGCGTCAGCATCTTCAGGTTTGAACGAGTCAACTCAAATCGAGGAGTAAGTTACTTAAATTTGGTTTAAAAATTGAGTAATATTACGAATTTCTCTTTATTAATTCAAAAATTATTCAAAATCTTTATTTTATGGTTCAAATTTATTTTATACTTAGATTTCACGCTACACAAATTCAATCACAATTACACAATTCCATTCAAAGTAAATTTGGAGAAGTTAAAAGTAGACACCTATAATTATTCTTCAAAATTTTCTAAGTTTCAAAACATGTTTAAGTTTAATTCTCGATCACAAAGAAGTTTTTCACTAAAGTCAAGCTAGCTTGGTTTTTAAATTTTTGAGTAATTTACAAAAAAAAAACCCCTTGAACTATAATCCATTATATTTTGCCGCTTAAATTTCAAAACTCAATAGTTAATCTCTTAAAATATTATGTCCTTACAATTAACTCATTTTGTTAGAATTCTGTTAAGAATGTACAAAAAATTAGATCATCTATAAAGCACATGACATATTTATTAAATTTTTAGGACAATAATGTTCTAAAAATGGTTATCATGTTTGCATTTTGTTACTAAGGCCTCGTTTGGGAACAGGTTAATTTAGTAACTTTTTGGCTATTTGGCTAAAAAGGTAGGTAAAAAAAACTTGTATGTTTGGGATGACTTTTTGGCTAATTACGAAAAGATGTGTAAAAAGTAGAGAGAAAAGAGAATCTTTGACTTTTTGATATGGGTTGTTGGCTTTTTGGCTAATTTAGTAACTTTTTGGCTAATTGACTAAAATAGCCTCTTGCCAAACGAGGCCTAAGATAAGGGAAACAAAGCACAAATGAAATCGTGATAAAAAGAAAAAAGTGCAAATAAAATTATCATATAAGAGTATTATTGTCCTAAAATAATCATTAATGAATATTATTATTCTAAAAATTTAATATATGTGTCATGTGTTTTGCACATTATCTAATTTGTGGTGTGAGCAATGTAAGACATTTCAATGACAAGTACACTTTGAATATTCCAGATAAGAATTGGAATAAGTTAGAAAATCATTCGACATTTTAATGACAAGTGAAATTTGAAAATTTCAGATAATAATTGGAATAAGTTAGAATATTATTCCTTCCATATCCGATTACAATTCCTCGGTTGCCTTTCATGATAAATGACCAGTCATAGGAGACAAAACAGAAGGATGTGAAAGGCAAGAAAAAGACCATGGTAATGGCAATCCCCGGAAAATTATTAGGGGCTGTTTTGGCAACTTAACTTCTAACTTATTTTGGTCGTATTATTTTTCATATTTTTTACTAATCAAAAGACAAATTTTTTTTTTAAAAAAAAGTCAAAAAATCAACTTTTAACTAACTTCTCAAAATACTCTTAGGTACTCTTAGAGTATTGTGTGAGTGATTTTCTGACCACACTGCCCGCTTAGTAACCAGCTGGAGAGCACCGGCAGAATAGATGGCACCTGGCTGACCTACAACAGAAAGAGTAGATTCCGGCGGTGGTTCGTCCACCCGGGGGCACTTCAACGATCAAGTAAGCATATTTCTCAAAAATAAATCAAGTGCTAAACTCACAAGCTTGAGTATCAAAAGTATACCTTAGACCCATGAGGGTGTCTCTCTTTTATAGCAAACTCAATTCTAGTCCCAATAGAAGTCTAGCTCTAATTGACTTAGGATTACTGCTAATCTTGGACTCCCAGTAAGATTAGGATAAACCCTCTAAGAGTCTTATCTTTACCCAAACTGAAGTCTTCTCCAATTTTAGGACTCTTGTCCCTTATCCACTTATCTCGGATTTCGACATCTTCGTAGATAACCTCGGCTTAGCTGAGATCATCTCGGCATCATAACCATGACACGTGGCACCTCGGCTGGCACTCAGGTGACACCTCGGCCACGTGTCATCATTCAAAAAAAATATGTCCCCACAACTGCCCCCTAGGTTCTATTACCTTGGCATCCTGAGGTGATGGAACCTATATCATTCATTTCTTTAATCATGACATCGGTTTAACTTCAACTTGTAAACTTTTCTCAAGTTTCAACAAGTGTTAAACATAATCTCAGTATAACTTCAACTTGTAAACTTTTCTCTAGTTTCAACAAGTGTTAAACATCATCTCGGTTTAACTTCAACTTGTAAACTTTTCTCAAATTTCAACAAGTGTTAAACATCATCTCGGTTTAACTTCAACTTATAAACTTTCTCAAGTTTCAACAAGTGTTAAACATAATCTCGGTAAACTCTTCTCTTCTCGGACTTAATCATCTTAGGCCAAGATCTTATCTTTTGGGATTTGGGATCCAAGATCTGGAATCCGGGACCGGCTTACTTGGGCTGAGCTCTTGTCTTCTCATATCCAGTGTTATCTCAGCTTGACAGGTGAGGTCACCTCAGCATCTTGTCGCTTTCTCTGGAGGTAATTTCTTACACAAAAGGAGTAACTTTTTAGAAAAAATATAAGCACTCCCACGAAAATGTGTAAGCTTAAGCAAAAGGTGTAAATTTGATGAATTTTGTTTTTTACAAAAGGTATAAGTGACTTCCGAAAAAGCTTTAAGTTGGGCTTCCACAAAAGGTGAAAGTTCGAAGAAAAAGTATAAATGTTATGCCAAAAATTCTTACACAAAAGGAGTAACTTTTCAAAAAAAATATAAGCACTTCCACGAAAAAGGTATAAACTTAAGCAAAAAGTGTAAATTTGATGAATTTATTTTTTCACAAAAGGTATAAGTGACTTTCGAAAAAGCTTTAAGTTGGGCTTCCACAAAAGGTGTAAGTTCGAAGAAAAAGTATAAATTTTATGCCAAAAATTCTTACACAAAAGGAGTAACTTTTCAAAAAAAATATAAGCACTTCCACGAAAAGGTATAACCTTAAGCAAAAGGTGTAAATTTGATGAATTTATTTTTTCACAAAAGGTATAAATGACTTCCAAAAAAGCTTTAAGTTGAGCTTCCACAAAAGGTGTAAGTTCGAAGAAAAAGTATAAATGTTATGCCAAAAATTCTTACACAAAAGGAGTAACTTTTCAAAAATGGTGTAAGTATTTTCACGAAAAGGTGTAAGCGTAAGCAAAATGTGTAAATTTGATGAATTTATTTTTTCACAAAATGTATAAGTGACTTCCAAAAAAGGTTTAAATTGGACTTTTACAAAAGGTGTAAGTTCAAAGAAAAAGTATAAGGGTGGAATAACATTTCAAAACGTTCATAAACACAAAAAGAGTAACATTTCAAAATGTTCATTTCAAAGTGTTCATAACACAAAAGGAGTAACCTTTCGAAATGTTCATTAACAAATTGGGAGAACCACTGAACAGTTACCACCAACGGTTTCTCTGTTCTGTCTCTCACCCACACACACACACACACACACACACACACACACACACAGAATAGTTACCACCAAACCTCACCCCCGCTCACCACCCAACCATCGCTGGCCACCGTCGCACGCCACCGCCTCAAATCGCCACCGCCGCTGTTGCAGGCTTTTTTTTCTCTCTCTCTGTCGATCTGTCTCTTCTCTGTCGATCTCCGTCGATC